TGGCAGCGCCTGACTATTCTATCCATGTACAACACAAACAGGATAGGGGACAGGACGCAGCCTTGGCGGTCCTACCTAATAGTAAGTCTAAAATCCTCATTTCCGTTGCTTTCAGTTATCTGTTTTCAGCTTTTTGAAGAGCTGCAACCCACAGACAGTAAAGCATAATGTTCAGAACACAGGTTCTGTATATCCGCATTTTGGTGTTATTGCTAGCATCTTTATCCTTTCAGAGTTTGAGTAATTTGTTCCTCGCTGCAAATGTCAAAGCGCAGCGTCTCTTAACATCGTTTATCCATCGTCCGTTTGTAGTCAGGGTACTCCCAAGATGCAGATGTTTCTGTAGTTTTTCCACGACTTTGCTATCAAGGGTTAGACAGACATTTATCTGGGTGCTACCAATATATACGCACTTAGTATTTTTTAAGTCACTTGAGAGACCCAGATCGGAACACTGATGTCGCAGCTTCGAAACTGTATGCCAGCAATACATTATCCGCCTGTTCATGAGAATTTACCTAGGTGTTGCTCACTATTGGCCCAGTCGTTCCTTAATCTATTCATACCCTTTGGAGCACCCAGTCACGAAATATCTTAGTGATTCCACTCCTCTGGAATCTCGTGATGGGAACATGATCAATCTGATTTCCCAGTGATGCTTCGGGAGGACAATGTGATCTTGTATACCGGTTTGTGGAATAACCGTGTATCGCAAACAAGTAGATCGCTCATTTCACATTTCTTCTAGCCTTTAACTGTTATTTTTCATATTGCTGATGCCGTGTGGCATGTATACAGTTCATTCTTTGTCCCCCCTTTCCTCCCAGAACAGTCAAGATGCTATGGATTCTACCCAGCTGCAGCAGTAGATTCGGCGTGCCATAAAATTCTCTTATTCTGCCTCTATCGCAGCTTCGAAATGGACATAACAATCAGTTACCGTTTCGCCAAGTTCTTTTTATCTGGACTTGAATCTCTGCATAATGATTCTGTCAAGTACTACATTCCATTGTAGGAGAGGTCTTTCATTTCTCTTGACTGTCTGTACATCACCTCTGTGAGCAACGCTTCTGTTGTGTTCCCTGTGCAGTAGAAACTAGTTTCCAGCTGTTACAGAGTTTGTTCCAAGCCAGGGATTCCCATGTTTTACAGCCATCTGTATTCCCATGCGACTGAGTTCTTCTGCAAGTAATGTAGTCTGTCCAGGCCTGTTCAGTGTTTTAACGTTACAGTAGGCAAACTGCGTTCGGTAGTTAGTATTTAAACGCATTTTTCTCGGCTCTGCAATTTTTTTCAGATCCACACTCATAGCCCGTGAAGTTTACTGGACCGGGACCAATAAAATTCAATCCAA